GGGGGGGGAGGGGAAAGTGAGGCTAAAAAAGAGTCGGTGAGGTTTCAGCTTGCCTCTTTGCTACACAGATGTCACCGGGCTTTTGAGAGGCAGGGGGGGAAGCAAGGGGGGTAGGTGGCAAACCCCCCACCCACCCCAAGCCTGGCGTGGGAAGAGGATGATAACAAGTCTCTGTGGGCTTACATTGACAGAGCAGCTCCAAACTGTGGCACTACCTGACCTGGAGATCCTGGTTTCCCAGGAATCGCATCCCAGAGTCTGCTTGATTAGTCGGGAGAGCAAATGGCAATCCCACGCGTGCCCAGGAGCATCTCTGGTACCTGCAGCGAAACTGTACTGTAAGGAAGAAGTCGGAGCAGCCCTGTGCCAGGGCAGAGAGGTCCGCAGGCAGCTTGCCATCGTCTGCTTCCCTCAGAAACACTGTCAAACAGCAAAACATCTCTGTTGGCAGCTGTCTGGTGGTTCTGTGCATCTAACGAAGCCAGAGGAGCCCTGAGCGAAATGCTCAGCATGAAGCCTCCCACCAAGCGAAAAGTCTGATTTCTACTTCTTGCCTGTCCTGCAGCCTGAACCAAGAGGGCAGAGACCACAGGGTGAATTTCAAGTGAAATCTGCACCTGCGTGCTGTTTGCATGTAAAGAAAGAGAGTATCTGCCAGCAGAGCATGTTACCTGGAGACCTCCCTTCTTCCCCTGGGGATGTTTTACACCCAGTGCATCTCATGCTCTTCTCCATGCAGGACTGGAGGCTCAACTGGTGCTGTGGAAAAGGGATGGAAACAAGGGAGGGGGAAAAACAGTGTAGGTTAGATAGCTGGACCTGCTAGCTATTGAGCTCAGGTGTAGCTGATCACAGCTCTCCACGGGCTGTCTTAGGGCTGGGAGATGGCGGTGGGACTGGCCCACACATGGGAGCGGTGAGCAGGGATGCTGGAGGAGAGCACTGCGGATAATCCTCTCCTGCTGCTGGGGCTGGGGGGCAGAACAGCTTGGCCTTTCCCTGGCCTTCTTTTCCCTAGCAGAGCTGCCTAATAAATGTGTCCAGAGGGAACTAGAGTGTCTGCAATCAAGAAAGTGAGGAGCTCAGCTCGTTATTAGAGGCAGCTTTCTGGCTTTCATGCTGCAGAGAATATTGTATAAATGTAGGGCCTTGCAAACCACAGCCCAGGTAAGGATAAAGCCAAACATATCTGTTTTTAAAACCTAATGGGTTTGACACTGGCTTTTTGCATCCAGAGGCCAGATCCTGCCAGTGCTGCACAGCAGCAGCTCTCCAGCCAGCCCCACTGGTGCTGGCATTGTTCTTTACAGGGGAAGGTGCTGCACGGTAATCAAATGCTGACCTCCAGTTATTAACCTCTTCTTCTTAGTCACCTCCACTGAGCACCTTAATTCCTGAACAGGGATGGGAGGACCTGGCTGCTTCCATCCAAGATTAATGTGCAGCCTGGCAGTCACCTCCGGCGGGGCACGCTGCTCTTCCTTTAGCTCACCCACTTACACCCCCTCCCCCCAAAAGGTAGAAGTTCTCTACCAAAATACAGCAATTTATCATAAAAATTCAAGGATCCACCCCCATCTTTTCCTCCACTCGGTGAAGGAGGTGGTGCAACCCTGTGGCATCAGTGGCCAGGGATGTGTTCAGCATCGCTGTTGCTTCTCATCTGCTGGCCCTGCGGTGCCTGATGGGGTGTTCAGCTGAGGAGGTGCCATGCTGGGCTGCTAAAGCCACACATGACCTCATTCCTGCTGGGAATCAGCTGTTTGGGTGAAGACTTGGTGCTTTTGGGCAATACATGATGATATCTTGCTGGGAGGCTGAGGGGAGGGGGAGGCTGAAGCATCTCTCTGCCTGCCAGCCTAGGGGGCAACTGCTGAAGATGCAGAGTTGATGGCACACCACTTCAGCTGCCTGTCTACCCCTTTTTGCCTTTTTTTTTTTTTTTTTTTAATCACATTGAAAGTAAATAGCCTTCATCTGCCTCCATCCCTGTACATGGGTCTTTAACTCCAGGGCATCACCTGCCTGCCTCTGGAGCCAGAACCAAGGTGGAGAACAGGGTCAGTTCCCTGCCAGGTAGAAGCTGCTCCAGCATGTCTTGGTCAGTGGCTCCTCAAGATGCTGACAAACATCCTGACTCTTGCATTCACCTTCAGGTGGCTTTAGGATGTGTGACTGGTTAAGGGTGCCAAAAATCATGGTAGGAAATGCTCTGTCCTGAGGAGACAGAGGATGGAGCCAAGGAACGTTAGCCTGACTGGGCCAATGTGATGGCCCAGAAAGATATGTAGAAGCCAAAATGGTGTTTCTAGCTGGGAAGCCTCCCAGCAGGCCTCCCTGCTCAGCAGCAGGCAGCACTGCTGGCCATCCTGCCTATACTCATCCCCAGGCAGATGTCTGCCGGCTTCCCATGGGGAGCCGAGATGATGGCTTTGACTTCTCGTTTCCTCCTGGTGTGTTTAATTGCGTGCTTTTGTTTTTCTTTTTTTTTTTTTTTCCCTTTAGGACTGGGAGACCAGGGAGGAGATGTGGGAAAAGATGCATGGAGAAGTCCAGGTGACAGATTGAGGGATGCTATAATAGCCACCCTGATGGATCGATAGATTAGACAGGGAATATAAATAGCAAGCATGGTTTATCTACCCCCATTTTATTTTCCTCTTGCCTATCTCTCTATCTTTCCTGGTGTTATTTTCCTCTCGCTTATCTCTTGGGTTACCACAGCTTTTGCAGCATCCAAGCAGGCAAGTTTTGCCAGCTGGGGAGGATTAGGAAGCAGACTCAGATCTGCACACTGATAGACGTGTTTTCCCCCATCTCTACTTTTCCCTACACCCTGCCCATCACCTCTGCCTGCACCTCCTGCTTTGGGGTTGCTGCAGGTCAGGGGGTTGGCTCCTTCCTCTCTCTAGCCTGTCCCCAGCCAAGAAATTAGGGCATCTGCCAAAGCAGTGAGATCCACTTGTCTGGATATCCAGCGTTTCCATCCAACAGCCAGGCAGTGCCGCTGCTTGATATTCTGGTCAGGCACTGAGCACGGCAGCAGCAGCAGCACTGGGGAAGGAGGGAGGGGAGCTGGGCTCCATCGAGCCGTCAGCTGCCAGCTCGTCTGCCCCTGCAGTCTGTCTCTTCGCCCCGGCTCGCTGGGCTGAGCTGAGCAGGGACTGGAGATGCCACTGGCTCCCCAGTGGCGAGGCTGCTGGAGATACTGGCCTCAGGAAAACCTGCCTCTTGATGCCTGCACTGGGTGTAGCAGAGGGAGGTGTCCAGGATGGGTTGTGCCTGGTTTGGGGTCCTTTCTAAGAGGGTGATGAATGAGAAGGCCTTGAGTTCAATGAAGGTACTAGAAGTATGGGGCAACCTATGTATACAGACAAAGCAATAGGACACAGAGATGACTGTCATACCTGCCTATACAATTGTAACTGGCCAGAAAGAGTGGCTGGGGGTCAGATATCCCCCATCTCTTCCCATACCAGAGCTAAGGGTCATCAAGTGAAGCTCTCAAGGGTCCACAAAGAGTTGGCATGTGCCACAGTGGGAAATCAAGCTGCAGCACTGCTCACCCTGAGGTCAGTGGATGTTTACATAGGACCAGGAGGAGGTTGGACACGAGATGTAGCTAGTGCCACACAGGTCCTTCCCACCACCTTGGAGAGCATCTGCTCCAGGCACCTCACTGGGAGCTAAGGCAAGAGTTGGGGGACAGCAGGCAGGAGCTGATGGCTCCAGGTACAGGCAGGATCCTTCCCTGGCTCCAGGCACATCTGATGGTCTTAATGGGCCACCTCAGAACCCCGTCCCTCCAAGTTAATGAAGATGTGGACAGGAGACAGATGGCCAGCCCATGCAGTGGCATCTCCCCTCCTTGGGAGGACTGGCTGAAATCCAGAGAGCAGGATGGTGTGGAGACACGGAGGGGGGACTTGGCAGCTGGACACGCACAGCAGCCACCTTGCCCTCCCTTCCTGCTGCACAGCATGGGAAAAGCCAGGGCCAGAGATGACAGTAACTACTGGGGTTTTTTGGTGTTTTTTGTTTTTTAATTTCAGTTGGTTTTGGTTGCTCTTATGCTCAAAAAAGGCATTTTTTAAAAAATATATTAAACAGATACATTTTACTAAGATGTCTCTTGGCTGAAGCCACCAACAAGAAATTACACTCCCCAAATAAATAGGCTTAAAAAAACCCATCCCAAACAAACAAATAAATAAATACATAAATAAAACTTTTTCTTTCTTTTGTTTTAGTTTTTTTTTTTTTCTTTTGTAAGGAATTGCAGCCCAGAGATCTCCCCCTGCTGTCTGTGATGGCAGCCTCCATGGGGTGGGTGCCAGGTCCTTCCCACGCAAGGGGTGATGATGCCTCGGTACCACAGCAGGCATGAGATGCTTGTGGAGAGGCCCCAGGAGAGATCTGCTGGGTCTCAAGGGCCTGTGGTGTGGTCCCCCACAATGCCACGTGTGAGGGCATGGATACAGGAAGGGTCTTAGGTGATGCCAAAGCGAAGGCGCTGGTAGAAACCTCTCTTAAAAAGACTACAAAAGTTGGGATGCTGAGGAGACTGCCGCTGGAGGATCCTCATGGCGGGTTGGGCATCTACTCCATCAGGGCCAGCAGCTGCCTCTGGCCAGGCCACATTCCCCCAGCCACTGACAGGGCAGCTGTGCTGGCATCGTCCCCACGCTCAGAGCCAGTCTGTGCTGCGTGAGCCATCCCTCCTCCATAGTGTCCTCCGTCTGCTCAAGCCCTGCATCTCTTTGGCCAGTCGCTGGGTGTACCATGGAAGCACGCAGTTGGCACTAAGGTAAGGCCTTGATTTAATTTTTTAGGTTGTTTTTTTTTTTTGCGCCTGCCCCGGGGAGTCCTTTCTCCTGGTCCCCTCGCTCTGAGATTGGAGCAGCTCTGGCTGTTAGCTGCACAGCTTGCCCATCTCCTGTTCTACCGTGTTGGGCAGCTTGGCATTGAAGGCCCTCAGGGAGGATTGGATCCTCACCACCTCATTGTTGGCCAACTTGAGCCTGTGGCGGAGCAAGCACGTGAAGAGGTCGAGGCGTGTTTTGCCAGGGGGTGACAACCTGTTCACCCTGTCCCTGATCTCCAACAGCTGGAGCATGGCTGAGTCCTGGGAGCCCTGGGTATAGGGGTAGTCCAGCTGAAGGATCAGGTCACGAATAGCATCCGGTTCAAAGGGCAGGCTGTAGCCAAAGACTTGCAAGCTGTTGATTTTCATGTACCCCAGGTTCTTGGAGGGATCTGCCATCTCCAAGGGTTCATAGTAGATCGTCTCGTTGGAGCTGTCATCCAGAGATTTGATGCGGCTCCGCAAGTAGACGTGTACCGTTTCAAAGAAGGTCTTCCACTTGTTGCCCAAGGTGAGCGTCCAGTTTTGACACTGGGCAGAGGCATCTACAGTAGTCCTTTCCCAGTCTGGGAAGCTGCCCTCATTGACGGGCATGAACCAGCTCTCCGAGTGGCTTCCCCCAAAGGGGTTGACGTAAATGGCCATGACAGGCTCCAGTGTGCTGTTCTTGGTGAGGCAAATCTGCAGGGAGAGGGCCAACATCACATGAACCAGCCCAGGCTTGTACTTGTTGCTCTTCAGGGTCAAGAGCATGCGCTTCCTCCAGGAGGGGTCAAACCAGCTTCCCAGGCGCATGTCATTGCTGATGAAGATGGAGTGAACCTCAATGCGGCTGTCCCGTTTCTGCAGAAGGTATTTGAGCTCCAAGTCCTGCAGGTCTGTCTCTAGCCCCAGATAGTGCTCCAGCGAGTCAGCCACCTCAGGGCGGCAGAAGCCCTGGGCGAGCACGTAGCCGTGGTTGCAGGTCCCACAGCGGGTGCTGTTGTCCTCGGCACAGCTGGCGCAGGCTGGCCCCTCACCCAAGGCACACGGTATGGAGCCCTGGCAGGAGGGCTGGTCAGGGGGACACGTGCAGCTGTGGCTTTCCTCCAGGAAGGTCCCAGGCACAGTGGTCTCGCTGCAGTACAGGAGTGACTGTGCGCGGCTCCACCAGTAAGGGAGGGACCTGGTAGAGACATGGGATGAGAGGTGCTTTACATGGCATCTTTTGGGGTGTGACTGACCTTCCCTAGGGATGGAAGAGCTGCCCACCTTGTGCCCACTTCCCTGCACTGCTGGTGGCCCCCCGTGAACTTAGCCCCATGTTACCTCCAGGCTTGGACCAACCTCTCAGGGCCACATCCCATGGGGGCACGGCTTCCCCTCTGCCTGCTCACCCCTGGGCAATGCCCAGTTCCAGCCACGGGGAGGCGGGCCGTGGGTCTGAATCACCCTCAGAGCTCTGAGCAGTGTCCCTGGCGTGGGGTGGGGATGCCATGGCACCCTACCTCTCCTTTGGCAGTTTGAAGCGAGGTTGCTGGTGGCAGCGTTTGCTGAGGTTGAAGAGCCGCCGGATGAGTCGGTGTGTTTTCCTGGAGAGCAGCTTCAAGCTGGTGCCCAGCTGCTGGTAGCGATGCTGGACGTCCAGATCCATGGCCCAGAAGTGGGAGATGACTGTCCTGTTCAGGAAACGGTCCCCAGGGAGCCTCTTCACCAGGGCCTGAAACTCCTCTGCAGGGGGAGAGAGGTGGCATCAGCAGACTCAGGAGAGCAAGTGCTAATGGTAGGGCTGGAGGCAACCTCCCTCCACCTGGACTCTCAGATCTTCACAACCACCCTGGATCCTGCCCTGGCACCACACCACCACCCAAGGAGGGGTTGCAGGGAAGGAGTTGGTAGGGTCTCCCCAGCCTCACCTGACTCCTCAAACTGGGCGTGGTGGCTCTCCCAGGCTCGCTGGAGCTGGGTCAGGCTGTTCTCCAGTGCCTGGACGTCAGCCTCAGGGCAGTTGCAGCGGGGGAAGGTGGGCTGGCACTGGCAGTGGCAGTCGCTCCGGTGGCACACCAGCTCCCCCGCCGAGCTGCAGGCGATGTAGCTGAGGGCAGCTGCCACGAACCTTTCCCGCAGGTAGGAGGGGAGCACCGTCTGCAGCCCTGTGAGCAGGAGGCAGCCCCAAGAACATCAGGGCATGTGCAGAGCCCCTCAAAATCATCACCCGAATGAGGAGGGAGCAAGCCTTCCCCCTCCCCAGGCTCCCACCCTCGCATGATTTTCATATCAGTTTACAGTGGAGCCGCTTGTCTGGGTTCTGCATCGATCTTGGTTCCTCTTGGCAGACAAGCAACAACCTCATCCTGCCCAGCTTTGATTATTTTCATACCCCCTCCTACCCAGCCCTTAAATTAAAAGTAGCATCTTGAGCCAGCATCTTCCCCTGTGGCCCCCTGTGCACCCTCAAGCATCCCACGGTGGCACTTGTCCATCACCACATCCCCACCAGCCCAGTCCTACCTTGGAGCTGCACTTTGTTCTCGGGGCTCTGCACCAGGACGGAGCTCACTGAATCCAGGTTGTCATAGTTGCTGCAGCCAAGCGGCCCCGTCCGTGTTTCGGTCACCTAAGGGAGGGGATCCGCAGGTGCTCAGGGACACAGGAGGGGACCTAGGATGCATGCCACCTCGCAAAATGTGTTGCAGATAACCCCTGGCCTGGCTTGCTGTGCCCCACTCTCCATAGCCAGGAGATGCTTGGGGAGAACTAATTGCCTGCTAATTGGCTTGTTGACAGGCAGCAGCCCTGCCTGCAGCCCGCTGAAAAATGTGCCTTCATTAGCGTGCCCAATTTCCCATAAATAATGCAGATGTGCTAACTTTGCCTGCTCTCCCCTCCCCAGGATACAATGTTGCTTTAGGGTCTTGTAGCCCACCTTGGAGGGGCTACTGCCAAGGGTAGGTCCGGGGCCACTGTCTCCCCACGCTGCCCTCTCCCTCCCTCCCTCACCTACCTTGATGGCAGCCGTGGCGATCTGGATGTGGTGGAGGCGGCGCAGCGTGCTCTCCCGGTCGATGAAGTAGGAGGCTGCCAGCTGGTGCAAGGTCTCCAGTGAGACCCCCGAGCTGTTCCCGGCTCCCCCGGTGGGTTCTGCTCTCCGGTTCAGCTTGCGCTTGTCCACAAATATGGTCAGGGACTCCTCTCCTGGAGGGACACGTGATGCTTTTGGGGGGCTGCAGGGCTCCCCCCATTCCCCTTCATGGCCATATTTCTCCTGCAGTGCTTATTTTCCCACCCTCCCCCCTCTGCACACTGCCTTGTGCCAGGGAAGTGATCAGGGAGCAAGCACCCACCAGCACTCACCTCCCAGTGTGGCGGCGAGCAAGAAGTGGGTCCCATACTTTTTGATGAGGCTGTCGGTGATCTGCTGGGGACTGGGTCGGCGTCCCAGCAGGCGGATGTTGCGGATGAATTCAGGGGCCAAGGGAAGTGGCAGGCCAAAGAAGTCTCTCCTCTCCAGGGCCAAATTATTCACCTTCCAACGAGCAAACTCTCTGCAGGAGGAGAGTGCCAGTGGAGAGAGGGTTCAAAGCCAGTCTGGCTATGCCAAACGCATGCAGTCCCCCCCACTGTCCCCAATTTCCATCTCGGGGTAGGGAATTGGTAGGTGGAAAAACTCCCATCGGGACCATCCTGACCTCCCCATCGCCACAGCGGAGGTGAAAAACCCACTGTTTGCACTCACCAGCTATAGATCTAGCTAGGACGAACGCCTCATCCCTCCTTAAGCCATCAATGACGATAACGAGCTACAAGCAGCAGAGATGCCCGATATTGATTAATCAGGCACCTCCGGCAGGCATTAATCACAGCCCAGGGCAGGGCCAGAGCCTGTTCCAGCCTGCTGGGCTGGATGGGCCTCATCCATCCTCCATCCCCATGCCTATGGATCCAGGGAAAATCCAACATCTGGGAGCTTCATGGGGAAGCTGGAGGTGTTTGGGTGTGGTGGAGTTGGTGCTGGGTCCCCTTGTAGCCCTGGAAGCTGTCATTGTGCCCCACCAGCCCCCCAGCATCGTTTGGCCCCAGGGAGGGGTCCGCCAGCCTGCCACTGCTTGGAACAGCCAGCAGCCCTGCAAACAACCAGCATGGGCCCATTTCAGCCTAATCTTCAGCATTTTCCTCTAATTAAAACCAGGCAGTGGCTTTCAGACAGTTTAATTGGGGCTGGCTGGGAAAGGGAAAAGGAAAGAGGGGTGGATGGGCACAAAGCAGCCGAGGGGTGCCAGGTGGCCTCTCATGATTTTTGGGCCCAGAAAGTGGGATGTTAGGGTCAGGAGCAGAACTGGGGGTGAAGGAGGGGAGGATGATGCCTCTCCCCTTGTGCTCACACCCCCTGGGTGTTGGGGCATGTGGGGCTGGGGGGCCAGGAGCCCCTGCAACCGTTCCCACCCATCCCACAGGCAAAGCAAACACTGAGCCAACCGCTGTCCCTCTGGCTGCTCCTTCCCATCCCACCACTGTCACCAGCAGCATCCCTGGAGGATGCAGATCCCTCAGCATGGCAGCATCAGTGCGTAGGAAAGGGGTGAGGGGGGAGAGGAGCTCTCTGGGGGTGCCAGGCTGCATAACAAGGCTGCCATCCCAGCACCTACGTCACCTCCCCCAGTGGCCAGGCTTTGCTCTGCTGCTGGAACCCCCAGGGCTTGGCTCCAGCGATAGAGGGAAGGGGAAAGGGCTTGTTATCAGGACATGACAGCCCCAATTGCTGGGAGGCAGTGAAGTGGGTTTCCCATACTGGCTGTCATGGGGTGGCCCTTTGCTGGGGTCACTGGACCCTACTGCTGCCAAATCTGGTTCTCTACTGGCAAGAAGCCTCTTGAAGCATTGCTCCCCACACATGTAGCATCGCACTGCTGCAGTCTATGGGGTGACAGCAGCAGGGACATGCCAGGTGTCAGTCAGGGCGGCTTTTTGCAAGCCCCAACAGCATCCCAGCCCCAGATGACTGGCAGTCCAGGCAGGCTCAGTAATTTGGCACGGAGATATCTCTGTGTGTGGCAAAAGGATAAAAGGAGCATCCCTCCATGATTCCAACCATCAGGGCTGATCCCATCTCAACCTGCACACCAAATCACTCCTGGCTCGGGGCAAATCCTGCCTGGACACCATCCTAGCCCATCTTGGGGGACTGCTGTTATACTCCCTGGGAAAGAAGCATCTCACATACACCTGCCCGCTGTCTCTCACAATGGACAGCCTCCTCCCACACATGGAGGTCCACTTGTGCGGATTAAAACGGGTCCATCTCCACTCCGCCATGCCTCCCACACCACAGATCCCACCTGGGGTGCCCACGGCCTCTCACCTGTAGATCCTGTACCTGGTGGTGAAACCTTGCCGGTAGCGCTCCATGAAGTCCACGTACTCCTGGGCTCGGTAAAAGGGTCCGCGGTCGGTGAGGAGCCAGTCGAGGGGTGCCCGGCCAGAGGAAGAGGAGGATGATGATGAGGAGGAAGGCGTTGCGGGGGCAGCATGCTGCTGGGGCACTGTGCTGCCCGCCACACCGGTCACCCCCCAGCGGCAGCACGTGCTCAAGGCCAGAAGGGCCAGTGGCCATGGGAGCATCAGCGGGGGCCCATCAGCGCGCGGGAGGTCCTGCCGCCCCATCCTGCTGCCCCCCGACTGGCTTCTTCATTCTCTCGCCTCGCGGCAATCCTCCGGGACAGTCCTGCCCTGCAATGGCACCGCGCAAAGTGGGGAGCCTGTGAGGCTGGTGGCACAGGATGAGGTTCCAGAGGGCATCAGGTCGACAAGGATATGAACCAGGTGTAACCACGAGCTAAGGGAAAGTGGGGTTTGCTTTGGGGATGCTGCTGAAGGGAAAGCTGTGCTCTGGGGAGAGCCACACACCGGGCATGGACCGGTTGTGCCACAGGAAAGTTTGTGGGGTCAGGAGTGCTAGCTGCTGCTGAAATGAAATAAAAACCAGCTAGTGCCTGTTTGAGAAATTTCTGGCTTTTTCTGTATGTTTTTCTCTGCAGTGCATTGGCCCGGTGAGCCAAGCTTGCTGCTACGGGGTGCCCATGCGGTGGGGACAGTGGCCTGCCTCTGCACCCTGCACTTTGGGGATGCCATCATAAGCATGTGCAGCTTATTTTAGGGGGGCTAAAAAATAATAGGCATAGGGAACTGGAAAAAAATAGCTTCTCTAAATATGGGTTGAGCTGTGTATGGGTAACATTAGACTTGACTTTGCATCCTGACAGTAGCTGAGATGATGGATGGGCAGATGGATGGATGGAGGTCCACCCCAAGGCTGGCTGGGATGATTGTGGTGGTGTTTTGAATGCAATTGGTGTTTATCTCAAGCCAAGACCGTTCTGCTTTCATAGCCCAGTGAGGCAGTACCTGCGGAAGTGAAGATGGAGCTTTGCTGGGAGCAGCAGCCCCGGGGCCAGAGCCTGAATTTGCAAGTGAAGGGGAGCTGCAAGGTCTGGCAGAGCCAGGACAAGGTGAGGTGTCCGCTGTTTGCCTAAAAATAGGGATCCCATCTCTGCAATGCTTTCAGGGGAGGCGATTTTTATTCCAGGAGGGTGGCTGGTGGAGGCCTGGAGCCCAAATGCTTGCCCCTGCAGAGCACACACCAGCTCCACGTACTCCCAAACAGGGATTTGCCAGATGAATGTGTTGTAACATGTATTATTATTTTTTTCCTCCCTCTCTTCTATTTTTAAACCTTTAAGGGTGCACTTTGATTACACTTTCTCAGGTTCTCGCTCAGCCCTCGAGGCTGGGGCCCTGTTAATTTTAAACAAAAGCTGAGATTTTCACATTACCAGATTGGGAGTGCCAGGGCAGCAGGGCAGGCAGGGGTGAGCAGGAACAGCAGGCAGGGTTTTTTCTGTCCCCCTGTGCACTATCTTTCCGTGTTATTACTCTGTTTTCTCCCAACCTTGCAGGCAGCCACATAACACACCAGTCATTGCCTCCTGTTCCTGGTACGTGGAGTCCCCCATGGCCACAATGTGGCCAAATCCTGGCTCAAACAAACAGGTCCCCATGTCAGTATGGGCAGGGGAGCCCCCAATGTTCAGGCTGTTGTCCTCACTCTGCACCTCAAGTGTTGGGGGGGTGACTCTGTCCTCACCAAAATGAGGCAGGACCACATGTCAGCTGCTCATGTGCTGCCACGTGTGGGTGATGGCTGAGCAGCTGAGGCACTTTGGCATCTCTGAAATCCTCCCTGCCTGCTTTCCTGCCTGCTTCCCTGCCTGCAACCAAAGCTGGGCCAGGGGAAAGCAGGCAGATGGGAAGCAGCAACTGCCTGAAACAGGCAAGCACCTTGCTCTCCTCCCCAGGAATACCTGTAGATGCAATTAAAATTGAGGTGGCCTGGGGACCAAAGGGCCTAAACCCTCCCAGCCTGCCCCTGCCCTGCAGCCATGGGTCCTGCTGCTGCCCTGTATGGGGTGACCCAGGGAGGCGGGGGACAAGCTGCCGTGCCCAAGAGGGTCCCTCTTCCCTATAGCAGGAAGGAAAGCAGCACTCCGGCTCTCGGCTGAGAAGCTGAGGTCAAAAATCCTTGAACAGCATCTTTCTAAACCCTGCTCATGGAAACACACTGCTTATAGTATTAAATGTGGCTGTGCCAGCAAAACACCTTGCTTAAATAGCTGGCACGCTAGGTAGCTGGCCAGATGCACCAGAGACAGGCTTGGCACAGCCAATCTCCTTGTCCCCTTTATCATCTGTGGCTTTTAGGTGTCTCCTGACCACCTCCAGCCGAAGTGGGGCTGGGCTGGGGAGCAAGGATTGCTCCCTGGCTGGCCCACTCTCCCCTCTTCCTTCACCCAGGTCTGTACAGCCAAGGGGATGCTTTTCTATGAGCGCTGTGGGGGACTGGCCTCATCCATCGCCACTTCACGCCACCACAGACTGGTACAGGTGGTCTTCCACCAGTCACTGAGCTTCCCTCCCTGAGGCTTTCCTGGTGTAAATGAGGAGGATGTGGAAGCATCCTTCCTTTTATTCAGAAGAGGGGACTTTTTTTTTTTTTTTGATTTAGGGTTTTGCATCACAAAAGTTGGAAAACTTCCAGCTTGTTAATTTTTTTTTTCCCCTGCTCTCTCTATAAAAATCTTAAAGCGAAGGAAGAAGAGTGCCAATGCAAATACTCTTGGCAAACTTTCCTAGGACCACAACCTCCTTCCTGGCCAAGTTTTCCTGATCTTGTTGCAGCCCTCTGTGTCCCCATTGCCTGCAGCAGAAAGCCCCCATGTCCCTGCAGTGAGTGCCGATGCACAGCCCAGACTGTCACTCATCACAAGCCTCATCTTAAAAAACAGCTTATCACAATTTCTAGAGGTGCCCTCCCACCCTTGAGATGGCAATGGGAGTGGTGGGTGTCTTCATCCAAAATGGCTCAAGAGACTGAGGCAGGATGGTGTAAGGTGTGGACAAGGATGCTCGAGTCCCCAGCAAGCAGCTCAGATGAGCTGCAAAAGCCTTTTTCTCCTGCCCTTGGAGCTGACGGTGACAACAGCAACATCCTGCCAAGTTATGCCGAGGTCCTGCTTGCTTGCATGCTGACAGTGTCTCCAGAGCCATGCGCTCCACCACTAATCGGGCTGAGTTTGTTAAGACCTTAGCTAATTGTCAGGGACATTAACATTGATTTCTGCCCTTTCATGCTGAGGAGTGGATCTAGAGATACATGAACTGGGAAGCATGCGCTGGGGAGAGGCTGTGGTGATATTTGCTTCGTGCTGTGGGGAAGCATGGGACTTGGGCATTACCCCCTGTAAAGGCTGAGCCAAAGCCTGGAGCAAAAGCAGCACCTGATGTCCGCAGCAGGCAGAGCCATACCCGCTGCTGGCAGAGCTGTGGAACATGTCCGGCCATGAGGGCTGGTCCCTGGCGCATGGCAGGAGCAAAGGTGCATCCATGCAGGAGCAGGGAGTGATGGGGATGGGTCTCGATCTCCCTGCAGATGCCTTTTAGTGGGAATGAACATCAAACTTAGTGACTGAGTCATCTTCTCATTAAACGTGGGAAAACTATATTGAATTAAGGCCACTTAAAAGAGTCTGGGCAGAGGCTAAGTGCAGTTTAGTTTCTGAAGTGGCTTGACTCAGCTGAGCTGTGCCTATGTGAATTCACAGAGGCACCCAGGGCACCTCTTGCTCTGCCACTTGCATCCCCCAGGACGGACAATCCCAAAGGACTCAATCCTGCAGGATGCTCATCCTCTTGTGCCAGAGCCACCAGCCTCGCTCGGGGCTCTGTGGGACCCAGCTCCCTCGTGCCCAGCCCTGCCTGTGCTTCTGCCTCCTCTACCCCTCCAGCCCTGTTGTGGTTTGCAATGAGCTGCAGCCGCCAGGCTTGCATCCGCACGCTCCCAAGGAAGCGCCAGGGCCTCATTGATTTGCTGGGGTAATTAAGAGAGCGAGCCAGGCACCGCCGGAGTGACAGCAGCACGGTAATCACTGGCAAAGTGGGCACAGCAGGGTGCTGTCAGCCGCCTGGCACCCGGCCTGCGGAGACACGGCTCCAGGCAGTGAGCGTGGGGACAGTCACCTCGGAGCCTGCCATCCCTGTCCCAGCAGCGATGCCAAAGATCACAGTGGTGGCTATGAACCGATTCTTGCTACGCTTTGGCAAACCACCCCCTGTAGCTGTTCAGTCACTATTTCTAGGTGACTTTAAGTCACTGCCTTCACCCCCCCCAGCTCATGAGATGGGTTTAAAAACCTGCAAGACTTGATGAATCGAGCTCCTTTTATTAGCTTTTCTTCACATCCTTAAGAGCAATACACTTGAAGATGAGAGCAAGAGAAAATAGCAGAAAATCCCAGGACTCAGGAAGCTAAGGATTTGCATAAGACATCAAATGAGATGAAGCCTGGGCTGTCATCAGGGGAAACAGCAGCTGCATGCAGCGTGTCACACCAGCGCCATGTGTTCTGCCCTCTGGCTTTGCCCACCCGAGACTTTCACACCCACAGGCAGAAAGCCTCTTAAAAGAGCAATGTGTGAAATACAACTCCCCCCAGCGCAGCGATGACAGCAGCAGCAACACCACCAGCCTCCCCCTGCCTTGTGCTGAGCTCTCAGCCTTAAATATCCCTGCAGATGGGGCTCCGGGGCCGGGGAAGAGCATCCTGCAGCCCCCTCCCCAGAGAGGATTGTTCCTCCCCCGCCCCGCGATGGACCCCGCAAGCCGAGTACCGGCCTCATGCAGGAGCTGGAGGCAGTGCAAGGCGGAGACCGCTCCTCCCACCCATCCCTTGCCTTCGCACAGGTGACAAGTGTCACGGGTGGGCAGTGATGCGCGGCAGCAGCTCGGCGTTAGCAGCACAGAGTAAAGAAGGCGGTGGGTGGCTGGTGCTGGGCAGAGAGAGGGAGGAGATGCGGGGGTGTCAGAGTGGGGCCACCCCTCTTTCCAGCACCCTGCTGCTCCCCAGGTCTCCAAACCATCACGGAACCTCCCCACCAAAACCAGCTCCGTGTGGTAAAAAAGTGAAGGGGCCTCCTCGCAACATCCCCGGGGCTGGTAGGAACCCTCCTGGCTGCTGACAGAGGGGGGACACTGACATCTGCCGGCAGGTCCCCCCGGCCCCGCAGCGCCCCGGCTCCCCCCCCACC